CCTTGTATTTATTGGGGCTTATTCCATAATAGATGAATTTAGGATTTCAGCCAACAGCTGCTGCAAAGAATATGATATGGGAATGGTTTTTAAGTGATTGTTTTAGGCCACAGTTCTGTGGTTACAGGTAAGTGAGCCGGCTGGTGGAGGAGGAAGAGGAAAGGACCTCCGTCCATTCTCCAGTTTACTTGCTTCCTGTACTACTTCCAGAGGAGGAAAAACATACAGTATCCCTCGGCATCTTTTGGCTGTTCCGGCCCAAAGGCAAAGCCACTCTGGTGCCTCCCTCAGCTGACCTCCAGGTGTTAATTTAGAGCAAGGTTGGGGATGTTTCAGGCCCATGGTTCTCAACCTTGGGTCTTGGACTACAACTCCCAGAAATCCTGCCCAGCACAGTTAGTGATGAAGGCTTCTGGGAGTTTGAGTCCAAGAACATCCAGGGACCCAAGTTTAGGAACCAGTGTTAGGCAGTAAATCCCATGGTGGGAGTTGTAAGCAAAAAGGTCATGCACTGTGACATTAATGAAAGGTTTGTTTGTGAGCCAGAAATTGGCTGGTTCAGATATCAGTTGCACTGTAAAGTAGCTCAATTCTCATGCATTACCTTAAATCCAGAATAGCCCACATGTTGTATTTATCTTCATTGGGTACCTCATTATTCTGAACTAATCATTACTTGTTCCTCAGTTGCATGCATTGTTGTGCATTTGCCTTCCTCAAATAATGATGAACTTTTTGCAGCAGCTCTGGTATGCTTCCTTCTCCAATAAACAGTATGCTGAGTAGGGGTAAAAGGCTTTTTAGGCGGTGGCTACAGGATTAGGGTGTGAGGTGAGCTTCTGCTGAAATAAATGAAATGAAATGGTTTATAGGGGAAATTGTTATATGGTGAAATAATTCAAGTTTGGTATACTTTGGTGGCTTTCAAAAAAGCATTTGCATGAGGTAGTAGTGGAGATTGTTTTACTGGGCTACAGAATTTCAGCTAAACAGCATAATTTTATAAGTTAAGAAATCTCCGTAGACATTATTTGTTGCATACCAAGTTGCATAGAACAGGTAAGGTCTACAGAGATTTTAAAGGCACTTTGCCCCTGGAAGTTATGCTCTTTGTGTAACGGCACAACAGGATTTCAGCTGGTATGTTTAAGCTTGTTCCAGATTGCTTTCAGTTCTACACATTTGTAGAGAAGGCATATTTTTCTAAACAGTGGATTCATCAAGCAGTGTCTGAAAGCAATCAGTTGCATGTTCTCTTTTATTACAGACCTAACATGATTACAGCCTAGGGGCCAACATGAATCCCAGTGAGCAGTCCAAGCCACAAGCCCCTACCAACGCAACAAAAAGAAACACTCACATCCTTGTGGGTGTGACTGGAAGTGTGGCTGCCTTAAAGTTGCCTCTTCTTGTATCTGAGCTCCTAAAGATACCTGCCGTGAGTATCTAACACAGGGACAGAACTGAATAACTGGTGACTCTTGAACCTGCAAACAGAGGCACGTTTTGAGGTCTCTTGTGCTTCGTGGCCAAAAACGTGTTTTTTGATGTGATAAAGCACACTGGAGTAGGCCCATTGAACCAGTGCCGATTGGGTGAGTCATCTCCTCCATAAGTTCCGTTGATTCAAATGGGCCACCTCTAACTGATACTTTAGTATAGTAACCTTTACCTTTACTTAGGGGGGAAAAGAAGTGGATGGGAATAAACAGAGGAAAAAAGGATTTCAGAACATTCACTTTAGTAATATCTCTCTTCGAAAACTTCTGAGTTTAGATAAACATTTCCAGATGTGGTTCCCAGTGTTATATATATATATATTGCATGTAGCAATAATTCTGACGTGCAGGAGGAACAATGACTCAAGACTCAGGAGACTGAGTTAACAGCTCCTTGCCCATCAAGTACAGTGGTGCCTCGCTTAACAATGTTAATTGGTTCCAAAAAAACATTGCTATGGGAAAACATCGTTAAGCGAAACGCGTTTTCCCATAGAGATGCATTGAAAACCAGTTAATCCGTTCCAATAGGCACGGATTGCGGTCCTTAAGCGAAAAAACCCATAGGAAACATCGTTAAGCGATACAATGTTTCCTCCATTGGAATGCATTGAAGCCTGTTCAATGCATTTCAATGGTTTTGCGATGTCCATTTTTGCAAATTTAAGTGTGTCTTAAAAGGTTCAAAAACTGTTTTAAATGCTTGGAACCGTTAGTGCACCTTCTAAAACGGGTGCAAACTTAATTTGGCTTTGATCTGACTTTTCGTTAATTTTTGCTGAATTTTCCCCCCCACCAACTTTTGACAACTATCAAAATTTGACAGCTCCATGCTTTCCTATGGGGGAGAAAACAATTCACAAAAAAATTAACGAAGACTCAGAACAAAGCCAAACTAAGTTTGCACACGATTTAGAAGGTGCTCTAACCAAGCATTTAAAACAGTCGCTGACTTTTCGTTAATTTTTTGTGAATTTCTTCCTCCCCCATTGAAATGCATTGAGCCCAACTTTTGACAGCTGTCAAAAGTTGGTTTCAATGCTTTCCTATGGGGGAGAAAAAAATTCACCAAAAATTAACGAAAAGTCAGATCAAAGCCAAATTAAGTTTGCACACGTTTTAGAAGGTGCACTAACAATTCCAAGCATTTAAAACATTTTTGAACATTTTAAGACACTTTTAAAATTGAAAAAACGGACATCGTTAAGCGAAACAGGGGACCTAAAAATGCATTCGCTATGCGAAGCATGGTCCCAAAATCGCTAAGCAAAAATCACCCATTAGGAAACATTGTTAAATGATGCATAGAATTCTTTAAAAAACCGTCGTTAAGTGAAAACATCGCTAAACGAGGCAATCATTAAGCGAGTCACCACTGTATTATGAACCATGCCAGCAAACCAGCACAAAGGCCCTTAACTGATCTGCAGATTACTGATCTGAGAACGGCAGAGCTGGAAGGGACCTTATGGATCATGGGGATCCAGCCCCTGTCTAGGAGGCTCAGTGGGGAACTGAACTCCCAACCTGTAACTCCACAGCCAGAGACCTAAACTACTGAGCTATCCAGATGTCTTCTTGCTCCACTGATGGAGCTTGTATTCTCTTAGGCCACAGCCATTCGAAGACTTTGTGGTGTGTTTGCAGAGTTCGTTTCTTTTCTGGAGCCTTTTATAAAATAGCAGTTAAAATACAACCAAAGTATCTTCAGAAGGCCACCTTTGTTAACATCAAAATATAAGGTGCTTGAATTCATGATGAGCTCCTGCTCACTCCTGGGCTTGTGGCTGATCAGGCCCAATAATGTCCTCTTTCTCCCTCAATGGCCATGGTCATTGGAGATGGTGAGAATGCTAGTCATCCATCACTGGGAAACAGCAGGACAGGGAAAACTGCTCCAGGCTCTGAGATAGAGAATCCCACCACTTGCCAACAAATCCTTTTAACGAGAGCTTGCCAGGGTTGGGCCCTTGCTCTGCAGTCTGTGCTCTGTCACTGAACTACAGCCCCACCTATAAACAAAGAGGTTTTAAGGCAGGAGTGGGCAGCATGGGGCTTGTTGGTTGTATACGGCTCTGGGGGCATTTTTGCAACTTCCAGGGCTACCCCAGGGGGGAAAAGGGTGGTAGAGTTTATGAGATTTGGTGGGGGTGGGGTGGGGTCCATTTCCACTGCTGGAATTCTCTAGTGGTGATAGTTTTTAGCTTAGGGACATTAGAAGGAGCCCATAAGACAACGTCTGAAAACCCAAAATTTAAAACCTCCTTTCTCTCTCACCTAACCCCCAAGATGTTTCTAGCAATTTCTTGGCTCCATCAGCGATGAAGTCTCAGATCAAGCGTATAGCCCTGCTGCTGACTGAAGGAAGAAGGGCCTTAGAATAGAACTCTGGGTATCTTATATCCAAAGTGGGAGTCGTGTGAGAATAAATCAGCAAGTTGGTGGAACAGAGCCTGCTTCTCTGGATGTGTGGGGTGGTCTAGTCAGTTGGTAGTTCTAGGCAGGAATGCAGAGGAAAATGTAAACAGTGGGGGCCCCCTGTGCTGTGAAAAGCAAGAGGGAGGGCCTGGGAGATTTCATTGGAGAGCAGAAAAATAGGTAAGACGAGCACTGTGACAGTTGCAATGGTCGTAGTGGACAATAGGATAATTTTCCTGACCAATGACTCCTGCTCTGGATGGCATCTTGAGTTGTCTTCAGAAATGGCTTGGGAGTCCTCGGAGCTCTGAATAGTTTGCTGCTGTGTTTTCCTAAGAATCAAGAGAGTTCGAAGACCTTAAAACACCCTGCCCCCAAACCATTCTATTCCTTAGAAAAACTTAAACAGCCCGTTGAATATTTCCGAGAACTATGAGACAGTTGATAAACATAAAGATGTTCAAAAAGATCAAAACTGAAAAACATCCCGATAGGCTTGAGCCCTGGTCTGAAAACGAAATTTAATAAGGATAAGAATCAAATTTAACAGGGTTAAGTGCAAAGTTCTGTGAAATTTAATAAGGATAAGAATAAAATTTAACAGGGATAAGTGCAAAGTTCTGCACTTAGAGGGGGGGGAAACCCAAATGCGTAGTTACAAGGTAGGAGAAACGTGGCTCAGTAACACTGGGTATGAAAAGGATCTTGGAATTGTTGTAGATCACAAACTGAATATGAGCCAGTGATGTGATGTGGCTGCAAAAAAGATCTAATGCTATTTTAGGATGCATTAACAGAAGTATAGTCTCCGAATCCTCTGAGGTGCTAATCCTCCTCTATTTGACACTGGTTAGGCCTCTGAATCCTCTGAGGTGCTAATCCTCCTCTGTTTGGCACTGGTTAGGCCTCATCTAGAGCACAGTGTCCAGTTCTAGACACCACACATTAAGAAGGATGCCGATAAAATGGAACAAGTTTAGAGGAGACTGACCGTGTCCAGTTCTAGGCACCACACATTAAGAAGGATGCCAATAAAATGGAACAAGTTTAGAGGAGACTGACCGAGCCCTGTGAGGAAAGACTGGAGGAATTAGGCATGTTTAGCCTTGAGAAAAGAAGACCGAGGGGAGATGTGGTAGCATTTTTCAAATACTTTATGGATTATCATACAGAGGAGGGGCAGGATCTGTTCTCCATCATCCCAGAGCACAGGGCACGTAATAATGGGCTCAAGTTACAGGAAGCCACATTTAGACTAAAATTCAGGAAAAAAAAACATCTGTACAGTTAGAGCGCTATGACAGTGGAACCAGTGGCCTTGGGAGGTGGTGAGGGCTCCAGTGAGAATTCAGGGGCATTCAAGAGAAAATTGGACAGTCATCTGCTGTGATTTGGGTTCCTGCATTGAGCAAATGGTTGGACTCAATGGCCTTCTAGCCCCCTTCAAACTCAGGTCTTTGACTAAGAGGATCACCCCCCAGTAATGGATCAGCAGGTTGAATTACCTTTATAAAAAGAAACAACCCCAATGTTTTCAGATTAATTTCTAAGCGACAAGCTAAACAAGTGATTCTTCTCTATGAGAAAGAAATTGGCTTGGGGTGCCGTGGCTAAGAGGGTGTCCCATGTAACCATTGTCTGTGTCACCTCAAATGCCCACCTTCTCAGCCCTGGGCTTTGAAATGGCTAACAGAGTCATGGACCACCCTGGCTAGATAAAGAAGACTGGGTTTGTTGTGTTTGAGATGAAAGCAGAAAAGAAACATTTCCTCTTCTGCCTGAAATCTGCAAAGGGAAGCCAAAGATAGAAGAATTCAATCTGGCTCCTCTTGTGCCGATAACCCAGGTATTTCTTAACGCGTTATCCGCTGGGATGCACTTGGTGGGTGGGGAGTCTTCTCTGACAGCTAAGTAGCAAACTGGAGCTAATCTTCCATGCATTTATAAAGTGGCTGCTTTTGTTCACACTCCTGGGTCCCAAGATTGTGTTTGATGACAACTCCCATGTTTCCTGAGCATTCACTCTCCTGGCTGCAGCTTCTTGGAGTTGAAGTCCACGGGCATCAGCCGACTCAGGGTTGGGAACCTAACCAGCAAAAACGGTTGCCCGACTAAACATCTCGATTTTGTCGGAGTGTTCTCCCCACCGAACCTCAGCCTGTACCACTCGATCTTCTCAGGCCTTCCTCTTACGGGTTGCCACGCTGAGAGAGGCAAAGAAGACCTCTATGAGAAATCGAGCCCTCCTCAGTTGTGGCCCTGTCCTTGTGGAATGGGCTCGTCTTAGAGATTCACTAGCCCCCCCTTCCCAAATTTCAAGAGTATAGGAAAGGCTGTTTCTAGTTAAAGAATCTTTTAAAGTCATCCTCCCCCCTGGGTTAATGATGGATATGAGCTGCCTGGTGCTGCTGTCATTTAGGATCCAGTTAGGTTTTGCTTTCGGGTTTAATTTTATTGGTGGTGTTAATGGATGCTGATTTTGTGGTGCTGGGTTTGGTGAGGTCATTTTCTTTTTATTGTTAACTGCCCAGAATAGTGCTTGTTACTATGTTAGGTAGTACAGAAATACAGTAGGATCCCCTTATCCATGAGATCAGTATTCACTAATTCACTTTTCCTCAGTCTGAAAATATTAAAAGAAAAAAATTCAGAGAAAACTTTTTTCACAAGTATTACCAGAACCGGACACTATAGGAAGCCAGAGACTGTGCTACGACAACTTGTTAGAGAAGAATATGCATGTGAAAAAAATTGTACTTGCTTTTCTTATTTCTTTTACCATGCTTGGAGAGAGAAGTCACTATTATCCACGGTTTTCAGTATCCACGGGGGGTTTAGAACCAATCCCCAGCAAATAGGGGGGTCCTTCTGTATTCAAAACAAACAAAGAAATACTCTTCAAGGTGACTTTGGATTTTTGGTTTAACAGAGTGTGTGTGTTGGTTTTAACAAGCTGTCACAATGGGTTTGTAATTGGCATTCTGTTGTTAACCTGGAGAAGCTTTTTTTTCCCTTTCTCATCTTCTCTCCCTTCCCTTTTTAGCTGGAGGTGCAAGTGGTAACTACAGAGAATGCAAAACACTTCTATAACCCTGAAGAGATTCCTGTGGCCCTCTACAGTGACACTGATGAATGGAAGGTCAGTGCTCAGATGTCCAGAACATTTTTGTTATCACAAAAGCCAGTCTTGTTTGCTCCGTAGCCTCCAATATGTGTCAGTATGCTCCAGCCCCTTCACGGATTGCTGGCGAAGGGGCTTGAGTAATTCATAGAAGCT